TTTTATGAAACACATAGACACATAGCTTCTTTGGAGAAAACACATAATTTAAACTTCCTTCAAATAGTAACAGCTGGTGTTTATCCACTGTTTACCATGTACTGTACATGATAGGAAGCATTTATATTAATACTCTCATTAAATCTTTATAAGGAGTTTGTGAGTTAGGTCCCACCTATATTATTCTTCATCTGTGTGAAATAGAAAGACTCCATCTCTGGGAGTCCTGGGACTTAAAAGGCTAGCTGTACAGAGAAATTGGGTAATTAGAAGATGGTGCCATTTCAGACTCGAGTTAGAATCATAAAAACTTAAAACATTTTCTGGCAGACTGGGTTTTTCTCTGGCTTGTAGAGAATTTTGCACAATGTAAAAGTGTGAATTTCCTACCATGACCAATGTTATATTTCCCAAATAATTATAGATTATTTATTTCACTAGGATCACAAAATACAAAATAATTATAAAGTGACTAACAATACTTGGTCTAAATTCATCAATATCTTAGCATAAAATGAAAGGTTTCTGGTTTCTTGTGTGGAGAAATGTTACTGGGTAGCTCCTTCCAAAAGGGGCTTACCAGTTAAACATAACCGAGTTCCAGGTTGCTCACCTTGCCTTCTGGAGTTGGAGTCCAGGTTCTTCTTGTCTCAGACAAAGAAATGAATGATATGAGCAAAAAAGCAGTGGCAAAGTTTATTTGAAAAAGTGAAAGTGAAGTGTGAGAGAGAAACTGGCTCTGCAGAGTAAGCTTGAGCTGAACAGAAGAGGAAAAAGCAAGATAAAATTATGCCCTGCAGAAAATAGGACAGGCTGTCCTGAAGAAAGCTATGAAGGGAAAGTCTTTTTTTATAGCATTTGTGTCCTTTATATTGTCCAAATCTGGAAGAAACCCATGAAAATTTCTATGAGTCCTGAGAGGTGGCTCTGGGATCCCACACCTTGAGCTCAAGTCAAGTCTAAGCCCCCCTGCTGTAAACCTGATCGAGTGCTCAAGAGAAGTCCAGGACTTTGGAAACTGTTCTGTGCATATGTCTGGGATCTTGTAATTAACAATTCACCCCGTTTCCCCAGCCAGCTTTCCATGCCCTAATATCCTATGTCAGAAAGACTGATTAAATGGCATTTTAAAGTGTTGCTTCACAGTCAGATGAATTTTACCAGTTCTCAGATTTTGGAAGAAAAGAACGGGGAAGGGAAACTAAAGCCAAGTTTGCTATTTGTTTTCATAATGTGTTCTTGAAAAGGAGTGCTGAAATGAAATATTTAGCACAAATTTAGTCAGAAGACTTAAAATTTGAACTTTCCAAAAGTTGACTTCTACATTAACTGTGTGAATTTGTTCTTGAATTCCACCCCCAGGGTTTAGTACATCTATTTGATTTTTAAAAATCATGTCATATTAGGGTGAAGGCTGAAAGGGCTGCTTCAACTAGGCTGAACTCACCTGTCCCCTCACCATTTCCATAATTCTTAGAGAAACCATAGCTAACACTGCTGTACAGACCAAGCTAACTGCTGTACCTACCTGCCCAAGACAAAAGACAGCCATAATTTTGCAGATAGCATTGCTAATCACTTTCCACCAAAGATCAAAATGGCCACCCAGTAACAAAAGGCGATATGACCAGAGACTAAGAGAAAAGCAAGATATCTCCAAACCTGTCATTGCAGCAGAGTGAAAATATGCAGTGGTGCCTCATTAAGTCAGTGGAAATTCAACTTTCCTATTCAGTTATATAGTAATTGATGGTAGAGATCAGGAGGCTGAGGAGAGGAAAATGTCACCTACTATTTCTAGCAAGTTATTACACTCAGCTCAGAGTGTCTGGGTGTTTGGCCAACCGTTAACCACCTGGATCCCACTGAGCCCCTGGGAGTGAGTGGTGCCAAGGCCCAAATCTTTCTGATCCAAGTGGTACCAGCAGGGGCATCTGCAGGCCTTGACTGACAGCTTATTAACTCTAATTTTGAGTTTTTGCACCAAGCATATAAAAATGAAATGAACCAAGTTGTTTATCTTCACATTTTAGCTTTTGCCTCTTACATTATGTTTATCTTCCCAAGTGATGCCATTTACTCACTTATTACTATAATCTTATTGGCAACTCTTAGGAGCATTAGAGAAATATAATATTTTTAATAAAGAAAAATAATTTTTCTAAGTCACTTTAAACTTTAACACTGTATTATGGAATAAATCCTTGACAAATTTGTACATTTATTTCATTGCATCATAACTCATTTCAAGAGAAAGAAAAACAAACCTGGAAGTCAAACATTAAAGAGGATGTAAAAGTCGCCATAGCCCCAAAAGTATGGGTGAAACTTTTCTTTTTCTGTGAGCTAATGGACCAAAATGGCTCTATTACTTACAGGAACAAAGAATTGAACTTTGTGAGGCTCTGACAGTAAAGTAGTAGTTCAACCTGAGGCATAATGAAGGTGGTTAGGTTTGATGTGTGTCACAGTTGTCTCCTTCTGAGTATTATTTTAGATTCAGTGTGTCCATCCAGAACTGGAAGACACACGTGTAGACATGCGATACTATGGAGTGGGTAGGCAGAATGTTCTTGGTAGAAGATTCTACACACCTGTGGAGTCCATTCCCTTTAGGAAGACAAACTTATGGATATTTCACTCAGTTTAGGTCTTTCGGTGCTTTAAATATTTATTTTCTCATGATACAAATCTCTTTATGGCACCACCTGGATTGTTTCTATGACATCTCTACTGCTAGATACATTGGTAGCTAAGATTCGCTGTCAGTAACAGCATTAGGGAAGTTCTACATGGGCTTCAAATAAATTCAGCAAAGCAGGAAACTTCTTACCATTTTGATAAGAGACAAAAACCAGGAAGGGAATCAGCACCTTGTACTCCCTTACAAGAGTCAAGCTGATCTGAAAAATAAACATTTGAAAAATTAAATAAGGGGGGGAAATATCCCCACCTAACTACCTCATCATTTAGAAAAGCCCATGTTATTTTTAGTCCCCTTGTCTCAGCTTCTCCTGCTCTTATGGCCCAGTGGATGTGATTTCCTGCCTCTTGTGCACAGTAATTTTCCAGTAACAGTTGGGGCTCAAAAAGTCCTGAGTTGTCACACAGATTTCAAGGTCAACAGAAAGCTTTCAGACAGAAAGTGACTTTCAAAATCTGAGCACAGAAGAAATATATCTTTCTCAGGGAATTTCCTCTATTCACCTAGGAGTCCTTCAGAAAAAATAAACACTACTTTGATAGAAAAGAATTCTGTAAAGTTCTCAAATTTGAGAATCTCTAGCACATGTATACTTCCATTGGGATTGTAGGCTAAAACATCTAAATGTGATTGCACAAGTGCTTTTCTGCTCCTCTTCTCTGGCCACATCCAAGGATATTTTTTGTCATGGTGGCAGGAAGTAAATTAGGATATTACCCGGGTCAGTGTGTAAATTTCCGTGTGGTCAGGTCCCATCTGTAAGTCTCCACTCCGTAATGAAGATCAAGAATGAATCAAACTTGTCAGCCTTGTGTCCTCCCCACACCCTTCCCCACCAGACTTCCAAGTGAAATGATGGTGATTTGCATTACCAGGGTCTATTTCAAATGCCGTCTCCAAAGTACAGACAGAATCTACAGGGAAAATGCTGATGAACGTTGATATTCACTGTGCGATATGGTCCCACCTCACTCTGTTGTTTTGGGTGTTCTTTGCCCCTCCTGAGGCTCATGTGTTGCAGTTTTGGTCAGTGCTGTGACAGTGGGAGGTGGTGAATTTGTGAGAAATGGAGCCTCATTAAAGGTTCTTATGTCATTGGGTGTGTACCCTCGGAAGATACTGTGGAATCCCAGCCTCTCTCTGTCTTCGTATTCCCAGAAGTGATCTTACCCGTCTCGTGCTCTGCCATCTGCTACGGAGGCCTTACCAGAGCCAGCACTGTGCTGCTTAGACCTCGAGCCTCCAAAACTGTGAGCTAATCATACTTGTTTTCTTCGTAAGCAGCCTGACCCAAGGCTTTTTTTTTTTTAATAGTAGTAAGAAATGGACTAATGTCTTTAACTAAGGAGACCTCAACTAAGTCAGAGTTAGGAGTCTTTTTTTTTTTTTCTTTTGGTCCCAGGGATCAAACTCGGGACCTTGTGCTTGTGAGGCAGGCGGCAGAACCACTGAGCTAAATCCCCGGCCCTAATAAATAACTTTTTACAGCTGAAGATACACATGGTTTTCTTCTTGTCAGTTAGCACGTAGTGATATATGAAAGCTGCAGGATGACACTCTTCATTTATGTATCTATTGTAGAAACCGTTTCCAAACATTTTATAAAGATCCCTATGTCCCTGCTAATTTGGACCCTTTGTGGCTCATAATCTTCAAGGCAGTTTTTAATATTATATATATTTTAGGGGGGAAAAAAACCAAAAACCTGCTTTGGCAGCACTCTGTAGTTTTTAAATTTTAAGTGGATAATCACATTCTTAACTCCAATACATGTAAACCATGTTTCTGCTGAAAAGGTAGATAAATGTGACTTCTGTTGAAAATATAACGTTTATATTTCCTGCTACATAATTAAAGCTAGGGTAGGACATTATATAATCCACAGGGTGTGATGTATGCTCCTGCAGAGTTTCATTTTATGTAGTTAGTTGCTTATGCAGTCTGGGTTGGCATTGTGTGTTTGTGTGTGTGTGTGTGTGTGTGTGTGTGTGTGTGTGTGTGTGTGTCTGTGAGTGCATGTGTAGCCTTCTTGTCTCCAAGTAAAACAGTAAGATTTGGTCCTCATAAAACTAAAGTGTTGTACAATCGCCACAATATAGTGTCTTGTATAAACAGACACACTATTCCTAGGGCTCTGAAAAGGGTTCCTACCTAACTCCATTGTAGGGGCTTCCCATTTGGGATAGAAATATCTAGACTAAAATGAACACAAGACACAGTTGTCTACAGTAAATAAATCTGAAGCCTAAAATAATGCATCATCTGAGAGAGTGCCATCAGTGTGAAACAGGAAAAGAAATTCTAAGAGAAATCTTTCCCCATTAGATTCTCTGAGGCTATTTTAAACACAAAGAGCCTTTGAGTCTGACATCATTGATTTTTCTAAATCCATGTCAGTCTTCTTTGCCTGGGTTCTTTGAGAATCGTGACCAGATACAGGGCCTGACAGCCTAGGCCTGAGATGTGCCACTGTGGGCATGTAAAGACATCTCGACATGCCAGCCCATTTGCCCTAGCTGAGGTGTTATGGCTTGTGTTTAGATGTCCCTGCAAAGCCTCATGAGAATGAGGTGAGGATATTTTGGAGGTGGCTGAATCTAGAAGGTGTGATTCTTGGCACAATGCTAGGCCCAAGGGCACTAGGATTAAGGTTGTGAGTGCTACCTGCCCTCAGTAGTCTGAATAAAAGGGGCAGGAAGATGCTGTTAAGGTGTCTTGCTGCTTTTGCTGTTTTCCTCAACTGTTTCTGTTTTGCTGTTTTCCATGAACTGTTGCCTCTTTGCCACTCTGCCTTGGAGCCAGCCAATTATGGGCTAAAACGTCTACAAACTGTGAGCCAAATAAACCTTTCCTCCTTTAACTTTGGGTGTCCAGTATTTTTGTCTCAACAGTGGGAGAAAAGTAACTAAGACACAAGGTTTGACAAATTATCAGCATGCATACAACAGCCAAGATCACATGAAATGTGCAAAAACTCATCAAACGCAAACTTTCAGCTTTCAATAAAAAGCTGTATCACCAAAGTCTGTTACCGTGTTTTTAAGACAAAGATGCTAATGTGTGAGTTCTTTTTTTCTCAACTAAAACCTCAGTATTTCAGATTTAACTGCAGTGTTGGCGCATTGGGATAAATAAGTGGGTTTTGAGTTGCAGTTTGGGCACCCATTCTCTGAAAGGATTGCCATTCCTGGCTTAGGCCCTATAGGGTATGTCATCTCTCCTCTACCCTGCAGTAGTCCTGTGACCCTGGACACAATGGGTTCCCACCGGTCCTCACCTCGTGGCGAGGATGAAAGGATTAAATGATTTAATATAAGTAAAATTCTCAGAATGGCACTTGAAATGCTTTAAAGCGTTTAAAAATCATTAAGTATTATAAGATTTACATATCTCATTAGGTTTCTATGTAAGATGATGGTTTTGTATCAGCATTAGCCCTGAAAGTTGAAGTTTGGCCTAATAAGAAATGATATATCTTTAGCATAGAAGTGTGATAAATCATGTCAGTTGCTGATTTTTTTAAATATTAGGAAATAATCCATTAATAAACCAAAGTTATACAGTAGAATGCAGTCTGGGGAGAGTTGCAGAAATGGGGAGTTGGGATGATATTTGTATCTGTACTCTGGGGCATGAGGGTATGTCTTTCAAGAAGGAAAAGTAAATCGGACAAAATTTAAAACAGAGTGATTAAGAATTGATGGACATAGTGAAATGACGATATTAGAGTCAAATATTTTGGGGAGTCCTAAAAATTGAACCCAATGATCCCAGCAATTTTGATTTTTTATTTTGAGACAGAGACACACTAAGTCACTAAGCTGCCCAACCTGGGCTTAAACTTGTGATTCTTTGTAAGAAAATTATAATTGGGTAATTGAGATGTTTTTCCAGGTAAGCAAACTATTGTGTCAGATGGATTAATAGTTTTGCAGAGATTATGATTTTATGATACTGAACTCATTCATTGACTTATAGTCATCTTTCCTTGGTAATGGTTTACTGGGATAAATAAGTAGCCAAGTCATGTTGGCACAGGTGGCCCCAGTCCTAGTCCTGACAGCTATGTCACATTGACACAGTGAATAAATGCAGTTTTGAAAATAAGAAAATTTAAATCATTCATAATACTAAAACTCCACTGTTCTTTTCATTCAACAACTGGTATTTAATTTTGGGGGGGGTAACAGGGATTGAACTCGGGTCCTTGCACTTGCAAGGCAGGCCACCGAACCGCTGAGCTAAATCCTGGGCCCAACTGATATTTAATTTTGATAGTAAAAACTAAAGAAATACATTTTCATTGTGATTTTTTATTTAATATTATATTAATAATAATTTCCACTTCAATAGTATGGCCTGAAGGATTTTAAAAACAGCTATTTCACCTTCTCAAGTACCCTGGCCTAGAGTCTCAATCTCCTGCCAGACATTACAATACAAGACAAAAAGAAGGCACAAATACTCACAGCAAAAGAGGGAACTGGGATGGACTGCACCAAGCATGTGGCAAGGACTCCAAGAAAACAGGACCACTGGTATTTGTTGATTATATAAGCATGAGTAAAAGAGAGTAGGGAGACACATGTGTCATCCAATGATAACAGCGGACAGAGGCATGACTTGTAAAGGCGGCGGGGGGCGGGTAAGACATTCTTGCAAAAAGAGCAGAACAGGGCCGGAAATTTAGTTCAGTGGTTCCAGTGCCTCCTCACAAGCACAAGGTTCTGAGTTTGATCCCTGGTACCAAAAAAGAAAACCAACAACAACAACAACAAAACAAAGAGCAGAACAGACCAAAGGTAGGTCAGGGTTAACTAATAAGCTACAAAAACAATTAAGGAAGGAGGTGCTCTTGGAATGGAATGTGGTTTCAGGCCACGTTTACCTTGGCCTCAATGTTATCTCACTTAAGAGTCCCGCAGCTTCACAGACCAGGACTTATGTCTCTACTGCAGCCATGTCGGTGGGGTGCTGTGCTTGCCCACAGGCCATCAACATCCTCTTGTGAGTCACACATGCTTTGGTCCAGTTCTGAATATACTGTGGCCGATTAGGAGAGGAAAATGCCTGTTCCATGTTATAGCTGCTCTGACTTTGGTCAGAGGCGTCTATCACATCACCTTATAGATTTCTACCTTATTATTTAAAATTTATTTTATTATTTTCCATGTGGATGTTTAAGTTGCATCATTTTTAGACTTTCATAATCTGTGCAATGATAAATATTTTGTACATAAAACTTTGTGTTCATTTTTATTTTCTAGAAAAACTCAAAATGAGGACACAACTTCCAGGATACAAGTCATGGGCATTCAAATAGAAGTACTTGAATGATACCATTTAAACATTATTTTAAGAATTCCATAATCAACAGCCATAGAGCCACAGCTTAAAACATGTTAATAAGTTCCTGTAATTATCTTAGAACATGTTGAGAACATATGCAACAGTCACTTTGTTACTAGAGAAACTTGTTTAGATTTTAATTGTAAAAGGTGTTACATGCCTTTTTCAAAAATTTTATTAATGAGACTTTACCAAGCTAGGTGTGGTAACACATGCAATTTAGGCCCTTTTAGATCCTTTGTCAAAATTTTTAGAATATAAAAAGGGATGGAGATGTAGCTCAATGAGAAGGTCCTGGTTCAATACTCAATAAATAAGTAAGACTGAAAAGGACTCGCTCATGTTTTATGTGTTTTCCGCATGTTTGACCAGAGTCAAGCCTTCTATTATAGAAAAAAGACTAGCACCCAGAGAAGGATTATTTGTTTAAAGTACGTAACAGATTGTTAAGGCACATTTCTTTTTTAATTTAGTAAAATTTTTGATAGACACAACATTTATACATACTTTTGAGGTACACTGTGGTGTTTTGGTTCTCCTAGACATTGGGTAGTGATTGATTCAGGGAAGATAACATATCTATCACTTTAAATTTATTTTTTATGGTCAATAAATTGAAATTTCTCTCCTCTATCTTGTGGTATATAATGGATTCATGTTAATTTGCCCTGCTATGCCTCAGAACACAGCAAAACTTATTCCTTTTGTCAAGCAAGAACACTGTGTCCATTGTTAATCTTTCCTTTTCCTTCTCTCCCTCAGTTTGCCAATGAAATCATGTCCAAAAGACACTTGTACTCCTGTGTTTACTGCAGCACTATTCACAATCACTCGGATACAAAATCAACCTGAATGTCCATCAACAGAACAAATACTGGAGCATTACTCAGACATTTCTGTCTTGTGAAGGATTGCTGTTCTGTTGAAAAAAAAAAATTACAAGCCCAAAGACTGAATTTTAAAGTAGTAGCCATTCTTACTTTAACATATGTTTTGACTCATTTTTGTAATTATATTACTAAATTCAGCAAGTGTCTGTTGACACTTTCTAGGTTCTGCTTCTTGCAGGATGATGATTAAATTGTCTCCCCAGCCATCAGGTACTTACCAACAGTGTGACCTTCTGTGTACTAATTAAGTGAGAGGCCTTAGCAACAGAACGTTGCTGTCCTCCTTATTTTTCCTGCTACTACACTAGAAGAATGTTGAGCTTTGGAAACTGGGCTGAGGCAGCTGGATCCTGTGTCTCATGTTCTTTCTGCTTTGGGAAGAAGGAAATAACACTTATTCCACAAGTACTTCGGAAATAAACGACATGCTGCATGTACAAGGACCATTTGGGCTAAAAGGAATGACAGAAATTCAAGAAACTGCCATTAACTATGAAACTTTATCTCCAACGTTAGAGGTCTTGAGATACTGATACTGTCATGGGAAAGCCTGAGGTATGTTGAGGACTATCTCTCCAGTGCATATTTATACCAAACTCTTTAGATTCACAGTTAATATTAGTGAAAAGTTCTGTTTTTCTTTCTTTTTATACAGAGAGGCTTAAATTAGTCTATTTTTAAATACATGCTAATTATGTTGTAGATTCACTGGCTTCTTAAAATTGACAGGTGTCTCAGTATTGTGGCAGATTCTTTTACTTAAAATATCAGAAAAATCACAGTTCAGAGAAGTTTTTAATGGTAAGCGAGAAATCTATAGAAGTGCGGAACAGAACAGAGACAGCAGACAGTGATCATTTTAAATTGGAAAAGTGAGCAACTTCAGACGTGTGGGGAGTTATGCAGCACATTCGTGGCTGAGAAGTTGGAAGTCACCAGCCTTGAGCTTTAGTTAGGATATCAAGGTGAATTATAGCAGACTAAAAAACACAAGAAGGCGTAAAGATTATGAAGACATGAAAGCTATTTTTTTCATTGAATCTATTGGTACTTTTTAAGTAAACAGTACAGTTACATTTGTCATTGGGATCTTGTACCTTTACATGACAAATCTCGGTTCTCATTTTTTCCCCATAGCCCTGCCCTCCCTTCACCCCCTCCCTGCTCCCCTATAATGCATGTGTTTGGCATTCGCAGTTCTCCAGAAAAAAGTCTGGAGATTCACTTAGTACACTGATTTTTGTAATGCTTTCTATTCAGTATTCTCTTTTGGTTAAGGATTTACTTGTTACTTATTTATCTCTGAATACCACTTACAATTCAGGCAGATGCTGTGTAACTACACACATTATCAGCTACCCTGTTTTGGCTAGGCCAAATAGTTTAAACAGAGCACTGAGTACTAAATATTCTCCACCAAGCCATAGAACAGTCCTATCCCTGAGGTCAACATCTAACTCTCAGTGGAAGACTATAAACTCCCAGTTTTAAAATTAAATGGGAAATGAGAATTTGGAAAAGGGGTCGGACACAGAAGCCTTATAGTCAAGATTTGGATTCGCAGCAAAAGAAAACAATGGATAAGCAGCTTGAAGGAGTTGCATGAAAGGAAGATTTTGGTTTTCAGAGAGCAAGTGATGGCATGCAACCTTAGGAGAATGCTGCCTAAGGGTGATGTGTAGAATGGCATTTATGGCTGAGCATGGTGGCGCATGCCTATAATCCCAGCACGTGGGAGGCTGAGGCAGGAGGATCGCTTTGAGTTCAAGACCAGCCTGGGCTGCAGAGTGAGTTCCTGGTCCGTCTCAACTATACAGTGAGACCCTGTCTCAAAAAACAAATGGCATTCATGATTTTATCATTTACAGATGCTGTCTATGCTGTTGTTTGTTGCTTTGTTTGAACAGATATAACATTTTTATTAGCTTTCACAAAATCATTCCTATTCTCCATCCTATTTACCCTATTTTTCCCCATTTTTTTTATTGAGTTTATTGGTACAATCTAGGTATACAATACAGTTACATTCATCATTGGGATTCTGTACCTTTACATAATAGGTCTTGATTCTCATTTTTCCCCTTGTCCCTGCCCTCCCTTCACCCCTCCTCTCCTCCCCATTTACAGACACTTTATTTCCATTTTTTCAGTTTCTCATATTTTTTTCCTCTCCCTTATTACCTTTCCCCCACCCTTTCCATTTTCCCTATACCTTTAGCCCTTTACTTCCTATTTCACATTATTAATTATCTCATTAGGATCCTATGTACTATTATAGTTTTTCACACCAAAGAAACTATTCAGTATTTCAGTTAAAGAAATCTCTGTATGAACATTAAAAATAGGGAATCCTAAAATAAAACTAAAAAGGAAAGTAAAAGAGTAAAGGCAATGATGTAACATTAAAATAATCCTTAATTCTGGGGATGAAAATGGTCCCCAAACATTTTTAAATTGGTTCTTGCTGTTATAGTCTTATCTTATTCTTTTTTTCATTATTTAGAGAATACTTTATTAGTTTCTGTAATCAAACCCACTTAGATATGACCTTACATATTCAGTACAGTGAGTTACCCCTGTACACATGGAAAAAAAATTAAAAATAAAAATAAAAATAAATTAACATTTCTAGACCAATATGGCTGTCCATTTCTGTACAATGCCAAGTCAACACAGTAAATTGGGATGACTTTTTCCAAAGTTGGCAGCACCGATAAAGTTTCCCAAAATTCAATTTATATATATATATGTGTATATATATATATATATATTTA